TGGAGTGAGTGTGTGTGTGTGTGTGTGTGTGTGTGCACATATGTGTGAGCATGTGCAGCAGCTGGGACATCCCACACTGGGGCAGGGACCACCCTGGTAGGCAAGACCCCACTGGGGGCCCTGCCAGAGACCCTTCAGGGGACAGGAGGGGTCATCCAGGCTGTGGACACACACCCTGCTGTGGCACAGAGTCCCACTAGCCTGGCAGTGGCCCCCAATGAGTCCACCATGCAGCTGGTTCACCACCACCACCACCCACCCTGCCCATTTTGGGCAGCATCAGGCCAGCCCAAGACCTCTCCCTCCACCTCAAGGACTGACGGCCCCACAAGGTGATGGCTTTGCAAGGTGACAGCCTGGCAAGGCAGAGGCAAGAGCTGCCACCATCTTAGGCTGAGCCAACTCAGGGCGTGGTGCTTGCTTGTCTTCACACGTCAGCACCCACTGGAGACAGTTTCACTTCCCTTTTTGGGGCACCCTTTCAAATTTCTGATTGGGGACTGTAGTGGGTGAGGGGTAAATTTAGTCAGGGGATGCCCCATAGCCACACAGCTGCATGGTGGGGCTGGCTTTGGGGGGAAATGGGGGGGCAGTGCTGACGTGGCACAGCCTGGGCTCTGAACAGCCTTTCCCTGAGTCTTTCAGGGAAGGCGGCTGCGTGAGCGGGGGGAATGTCAGGATGGGGTACAGGAACCACCAGCTGCCCCTTCAGGTTCCTGGGGGCTGCACCCCCAGCTCAGGCAGGGCAGAGGCCGTGGAGCTTGGCACAACTGCAGGACCAAAGTGAGGGGACTGTGCTGTCCTCCCAGGGCCGCCCCAGTGAGTCTGGCTCTGCCCCGCTCCCCCCAGCCTGGGCTGGGCTATTCTGGGCCCCTGCTCTTGCTTTCGAGTTTCAGCCCTGCTGCCTCCAGGAACGCGGCTGTTTGTGGGGCTGCAGCTGCAGGGGGAACAGGCGGGAACCCGTCCCCTCCGGCTGTGCCACGTCGCCCGTGTCTCTCCAGATAAGGTGTTTCATCAGCTCCAGGTGCCCTCACTCTGCTCCTGCCACGTCCCCACAGAGACACCACTTCCTCCTGGCATGAGACACCCAGGCTTGCCTGGCCTGGGGGAATCACCCAGTCATGTGCAGTGAAAAAAGCAAACCATATATAGTGTTTTGGTGACAAAGCTGTCCAGAGGTCATCCCATGGAGAGGGAGCATTTGGGGAAAAGGGTAGAGCTTTGTCCTCAAGTCTGGGGGTAGTGGTTTGGTGTGAGGGTTGCAAGAGCTCATGTGGTCCCACACTCCTTTGCCTCCATCTCTGCATCCCTCCCTCTGGTCTAAACCCCCAGGGTTTATTAAACACCCCCCTGAAAGCCTTGCTAAGCCCTCACCAGGGAGCCTCAGCCTGGGAGCACAGCTCTCAGCAAGTGCAGGACCCACTGCCTCTCTCTGCAGCTAATTAAAGCCTTCCTGAAACATCTCATTTACTAAATTAGATTCCCCTCATTTTAAAATTACTGGCAAGCTGGGAAAACAAGATAATAAATGACTGTTGAAATTTCAGTGCAGGAGCCGGCAGAGTGAGAGCAGGAGCTGCAGCTGGGGAGAGGAGGGAGGTGTTGGTTCTGCTCAGCACATTTGCTCACAAGAAAGCCCCAATGAGGGTGGCTGCGAGAGTGGGGCCAGACTGTTCTTCCCAGGCCCTGCTTCCCTCCATGCAGGAGATGGATCAGGACCCACATCCATCTCTGATTCCCAGTAGAGGCTCTCCAGCCCTGTTGAAGGCTTGTTATGGGTAAAACTGTGGCTGGGAATCTGCCGAGGTACGGGCAGTGGGGGAGGATGGGAGCCTGGGGGCTCCAGGGCCACTGATTTATAATTCATCAGGTTTTTCCTTGCCAGTTGTTGTTTACGGAAAAGATTTAGCAAAATCTTTTAATCAATAATTAGTGAGGTTTTCTGCCCCTGGAATCAGAGAGGTGCCTGTGCTCTACCTGCCCAGACCTGAGCCAAAGTGAGAGCCTGGCTCATGGCCCAGAAGGACCTGCCCCAAACTGAGCCCACAAAAAAGTGGGGCCAGTGTCCTGTGATCCAGAAATGGGCTTTACCAATGGAATGTCAAGATGTATTTCAAGCCCTGTGGAATGCATTGCCCTGCCACCCTCTCCCTTCCAGAGCCCCCCCCCTCAAAAAATGTGGCATTTATTTATTATATTTATTTATTTACCTGGCGCCACAGCTCAGATGGTGGCTCCTGCATTGCCTGTCATTCACTCCAGCCTCAACCACTGCTAAGGGTCTGATTTGCCAACTGCTGGAATCATAATTACTGAGGCTTGAGCCTTCCAATGGAAAAGAAGCCAGTGTCCTTCCTGGCAGAAGGTGTCAGTCCTTGGGGCATTTCTGGCTGGCAGAACCCCAGGCAGATGCTCTCTTGGGTGAAAGCCCTGGCAGCACCACAAGGCTGGGGATGAGATGCTGCAGTCAGGGCTTTGCTAGGGATTAATCCAGCTTGAGGGTGGGAAGGGGCTGAGCAGAAGGGTGGAGGAGCTGCTGCCATGTCTGGGTCCACATTCCCCAGCAGGGAGTTGGGATGGGTGGATGTGGATGACCACCCTCAGCTCCAGGACCCGCTGCCACAGCCCATCAGCCCCTCAGGAGCAAGGCTGCCAGCTGTCTGCCCCTGCAAGCTCTGCCTGCTCAGGAAATCATTTTAGAGAACCTTATCTTGAAACACAGTGGGACAGATCCCTCCATCACCCACCCTTCCTTCCTTTCCCTGGCTCTGATGCAGGCTGAACATCCTGCTACTGGCTCCTTCCTTGGGGCCAGCAGCAACCCAGGGGTCTGTGATCAGGACTGAGCACTGGTTTGTTCTGTGATGGGAATTCCTGGTAAAACCTCAAACGTGTCACCCCACAGATGGGAAGGGACACTGGGACTGCCTCCATCAGCCCAGTCCCCTGTGCAGGGAGATGGGAAGGGGGTTTTGCCATATGCGTGGGGCTGTGCCACGACAATCTTTCCCTTGCCTGGCTAGAGAGGAGGATGAAGTCAGGATAAAGCCTCATCAATGCCAATAAAGTTGTTTTGGGGCACGAGGTTTCTCTTGGCACCTCAGGAGGGGTCAGGCCCTGCTGCCAGCTCCCTGCCAAAAAGCAGGAAGGAAGAAGGACTGTGGAAATGCATGGATGTGGCACCTGGGGACTTGGTTTAGCCAAGAACATGGTGGTACTGGATTAATGGTTGGACTTGATGATCTTAGAGGTCTTTTCCAACCTGAATGATTCCATGATTCTATGAATCTGAATCAAGTCTTAGGAAATGCTGGAACCCAGGGTTGTTGGTGCTGGGAGATCCCTGGCAGCACTGGGAGACATGAGGCTCCTTTTGCCAGCAGCACAACCACTGTTTTGTTTAGGCCATCACTGCCCACCCTGGCATGTCCATGGGAACAAGAGATGGATGAAAGAAACTCAATTCCCCTCCAAGTTCCTCTTGAATTTGCTTTCCTGGCAGTTTTGGTGTTGCTGCCCCAAGAGAGCCCAGCGTGGGGAGTGCCCATCCCACAGGGATGGTGTTGGCTGGCTCCCGGCCTGCCCAGGGCAGCTGATTGCCAGCAGGATGCAGGGAGGAGACGTGGGGGTTGTGGGTGTCCAAGTCCCTGGGATGGGCTTGGGGGCTGCCCCAAGTGGGGCTGACCTCTGCTCCTTGCTGCTGCTCAGTGTCCATGGCCGGGCTCCAGACATCCTTCCTATGCTCCAACGTCAATAAAAGTTGGGGGATGAGAGAACTGACAGCAGCCTGAAAAGGATTTGGGGGTCTTGGTGGATAAAAAGCTGGACATGACCTGGCAATGTGCACCTGCAGCTCAGAAAGCCAACCGTGGCCTGGGCTGCACCAAAAGCAGTGTGGGCAGCAGGTCAAGGAGGGGGATTCTGTCCCTGTACATGGCTTTGGTGAGACCCCACCCGGAGTACTGCATCCAGCTCTGGAGTCCCCAACATCAAAAGGACATGGACCTGTTTGGGCCTGTCCAGAGGAGGCCATAAAGATCCCAAGAGTGCTGGAGCACTTGTGCTCTGAGGAAAGGCTGAGAGAGTTGGAGTTGTTCAGCCTGGAGAGAGAAGGCTGCAGGAAGAGCTTTTAGCAGCCTTTCAGTACTTGAAGGGGGCTTATATGAAAGATGGGAACAGACTTTTTGTCAGGCTCTGATGCAATAGGACAAGGAGTAATGTTTCTTAATTAAAGAAGGGTTGATTTAAGCCGGATAAATTACTGTGAGAGTGGTAAGGTGCTGGCACAGATTGTCCAGGGAAGCTGTGGATGTTCCATCCCTGGAAACATTCAAGGTCAGGCTGGAAGGGGCTCTGAGCAGCCTGGTCTGTTTGAAGATGTCCCTGCTCATTCCAGGGGGTTGGACCGGATGATTTTTTAAGGTCCCTTCCAACTCAAACTATTTTACTGTTCTATGATTCCGTGTCCTCAGATGGCACCTGCAGGGACATGTGCCAACCGAAAACCTGGCGGGGTGAGGCATCCCACTGGCACAGCTTGGGGAGGAGGATGTGGTGGGGCCATTGCCCCTTTCCCAAGAGGCTGGTGAGAACTGCACACAGCGTGACTGGGCACTCCCACCCCCTGTCCCTGGGGTGGCTCCTGGCTGCTCTGATGGGGTGACAGCAGCAGAACACTGGCACTCTCAGCATAACCATGGCCATCAGCCCCTCCATGTGCTGCAGGGCCACAGGGAAACTTCCCCAGGGCTGGGCTGGGGACAAGGCACATGGCATGCAGGAGCCCACGGTGGTGTGGCATAGGGTGCAAGGGACAGAGTGGTGCATGTGCTTGACTGGTGGCTACACTGGCACCCCCGTTCTGGGAAGTGCAGGGGTGAGTGAGGAAATGGG